AGCAGAGCCATTTTAATACGTGTTAAGCATTGATCAGATGTTTTTGTTTTATCAAAGAACAAAACTATTGTGATTGCAAAAATTTTAATTTTTAAATGATCGAGTCTAATCATGTTGTGACGACATATTTTATCAGCAATATTAACGTTCGTGATAATAGTGATCAGAGGATATTCGTCTGTCGTGTTTTCCAGATCGTTGCGGTCCAATTCCTTTTCATAACATCGACGACCATTTCGTTGAATGCGAACGAAATTTGCAGAGAGTGGTTGTACGACAGTACGTGGTTCTATTGGAGCCTGTTTGGTTTCTCCGCGGTATTTTACCTGATGCTCGCTTGTATTAAGTTGATAAGGAACAGCTATCCGTGTAACATGGTGACATTGTCTTTGCTGACTTTGTGCACTGCCATGTTCGTGTCGGCGCTCACGGCGAGCTACGAAGCACCCGTCATATACGTTGGATTCATGTCTACCGGTCTGACCGCCGCAGGGGTCTGTTTCCTGGTTAAATTTTTTCCGCTGGACGTCACCGGAGCAAACCTGTTACTCACGACAAGCTTTCTCTCTATTGTGATCTTCGTTGTGACGACCGTCGTCGTCTTGAAGTTCGTCCAGATCGAGATGAACCATCTTATCATCTGCGCAGTCGTCGTCGTCACAGTCTCTTACCTCATGATCTACTTTATCCAGTTGCTCGTCAATGGGAGGGCCGGTGAAATAAACAGCAGGGATTACGTGTTGGGGACGATCCTGCTGTACCTTTCCTTTTCCTGCGTCTTCCTGTACTGCGCATCCTTGGTTAAGGATTGTTTCAACGTATGAAAGAAATGGATAATTCGGCAGATATACAGTTCCCCTCCCTCATACCAAATTGCGTGTCGTTTCGGCCCAATCAAAGGAATTTTTAAAATATCACATGGAATATTCATATGTAAATAGCAGATATTATACTTTGAAACTTTTTCACCACACGTATACAATTCTAATGAAATAAAACTTATAGTACTACAGACTATATTTTATCTACATTATAAAAATGATATGCTAATACATGATTATTATGCAATGAAATTGTTATAATGTAAAATGTAATCATTCGACAAATTGATCGTTGGTTGAGATGATCACGCATTATCGACGTCAAAAAATTATTCTTAATTCAAAATTTTAACCAGAAATTCTATCGACATTACATTATAGTCTTAAATTCACCAATTTCTTTATTCGTAAAAACATTATTTTTAATAAGATGATAAAATAATGATGGTTTACATGTGATTAACAGAAAAAATGATAATGGAGGTTCAGCGAGTCGGTGAACACATGTTGACACATACTTCCGTCCTTCTACGAAAGACTTCCTCACTGAAGATCGCGCAAAGCCAAAATGCGTTTGAGTAGCATCAAAAAACCGGCACGCGTAGATGGTGTACGATTATGTAGGTCCAGCATGAATACAAATATTTACACTCGAGAAGAGTGTTATATTTATGAGGCTAGGATAGGATCGTAGAATACTTAAGAAAGGGCATTTGTAAGTGTGAATGATAGGATACCCTAAAGATAGCTAGAATCTGAGTAGAAATTGTGATGTCACGAATAAAAAAATATTCCCTATATCGTACTCTACAGTGAGTGAGAAGACTGTCCTACACCCCATAGGAATTTTTAAAAAAATCTGGTGAGAGAGTGTGATGTCTGGAGTGAATTAAATTTAATCATCGTTCAATTGTGACCATTAAATACAAATTTGGATCAATATAGTAATTTATTAGCGTGAATAAGGGACTCTCCTTCGCCCTGAGAAATATCGTAGTATTCTGCGGTGAACATGTGATATCTGAAACGACAAAAAAATTATTAGCGCGAATGCGTGGATTGTCCCATATGAGTCTATTTCTTCTCTCTTTCTTTCCTCTTTTTCCTTTCCCCTTCTCTTTCTTTATTTAAATTTACTTCCCGCACTTTTTCTTCCCCTGTTTATTTGTCTATATTTTTTTAATATTCCCTTTGTTTTCTTTTGACAACAAACTGAGGACGACTGGCGCCCAACGTTTATTCCTTACATTTTTTTTTCTTATCCATTAACCCACCCCCTTCACCATTGACCGGCTGGCCACCTAGGTACACACCTAGGTGGGGCTTTGACCGTAACACCGTAGCACTCTAGATGAGCGTGTGGTTTCAAGAGTGAAATTGGGCGGCCGCGGTAGCCGAGTGGTTAAGGCGTCAGACTCTCGGCTAGTAGATCTCGCGGTCGTGGGTTCGATCCCCACCGTCGTCTCTGGACTTTTTCTGCGGTGGCCGCGATTGAAAGAAATTGACACGGCACTCATCTATAGAAGGAGCGGGATCAGATCTCAGCGACCCTGAATTTGGTCCAAACCCCCTTCAAAAATGAGTTTCTTCGATGAAACAACACCGGGGGCTCAAATTCACACCTGTTGCGAGCCTTCAAAAAATGGAGTCAGGGATAAAGTACTGTAGCTGTAGCTAGTACTGTACTGTAGCTGTACAGCTACAGTCCTCAGGAGGGAACTCCAAAAAGTGAAATTAATTTATTAGCATGAAGGGGACTGTCCTACACCCTGAGGAATAAATAAACTGATGAGAGAGTGTGATGTCAGAAATGACTGTAATTTAATCACATGAATACTATAATAATTAAAATAAACAATACCGTCAATTATGACCACTAAATACATATTTGGATCAATACCGTAATTTCTATCTTGAATGAGGGGACTGTCCTACGCCCTGAGGAATATCGTATTCTGCGATGAAAGTGTGATGTCTGAAATGAAAGAAATTTTTTAGCGTGAACGATTGATTATCCCACATGTCTATACTCTAAGTGAGAGTGTGGTAGGAAGTGCGAATACCCTAATAGACTGCCCCCTATAGCGAGCACTGTAGAGTTAGAGTGTGGTGTCAGAAATAAAAGTAATTTATTAGAGTGAATGAGGGGACTATCCTGTACATTGAGGAATTTGGAGATGTCCTCTACCCTGAGAACGTGATGTCAGGAATGAATATGTGTTATGTTAATGGAAGGACTACTCATCTATCGAGCAATCTAGAGTGAGAGTGTAATGTCTGGAGTAAAAATAATTTATTAGCATGAATGAGGTGACTACTCCCCACCCCGAGGGACATCGGGTAATATGAAAGTGTGTGGTCAGGAAAAAAGTAATCTAAATGAGGAGACTATTCTCTATATATGTTAATTTTTTTTACTTTTAGTGTAAACAATTTGTAGAGGTTTTCACTCATTGAATAAACAGTAACAATGTAGGGACTAAAGTTAATCAGTATAAACTGGTTTTACAATGGTTCAATTCATGCCAACAGCCATCTAATAGAATTCATTAAGCAACCTTCGTTAGGGAGGCTGATTTTGTTTGTGTTTGTACAAGCTTTCTCACGATCTATAATCCGATTTGGACAGAAAAGATATTTTACAAACAGAACAAAAGAACTGTAATTTGCATTATTCGCATAGAATAGGCCAAACGTTTTAAAAATAAATATTCTGTTTTATTATTTTTTATTTGTGATTCTCAGCAGGACAGTAAAAAACCATCAACGAGCCTCGACAGTCAATCTTCAGTAAGGTTATTAGATCTCGCGATGTCCAGTCCAATGACGGATGGCCTTCGGATCTCCGCCTTGACCAACTGCGACGATTTGATGTGGATTTGATTTATAGCCGGTGCTGAAAGAAACCTTAGTAAGAAATTCAGATGTCCTAGAGGTAATTGATCACATCGCGGGAAAACAGGTCGAAGGGTCTGTTCCGATACTCGAAGTTTACCTCCGCCTCAACCTCCATCCGACGGATTTCCGGGCTATTCTTCAATAAACTTACCAATCTTTCGACGTCAAAAGTAGACGGTGAAGAATGCCGAGGGGGGGGAATAGAGGAAATCGATGGAATTAATATCCGAGAGGTGATTAACCTTAGATAGAGGGATCGGGTATAAAAACAAAGTCTGCCGTCTTTGTTCGAACAGAATATAACTAAGAGCACTGTCTTTATTACCTTGCAGAAGATATTTAAGAAAATATACTTAAGTGTTAATCCGTAAATATATTTTTTTAAACGAAGTTGAAGTTTTCTCTTTGTGTCAGGGAATGTGTGAATTGTATAACCCGAATTACCGTGGACGCTCTGTCAAGCATCGAGAGGGGGCTTTCAACTAACGAGATTTTGATACTGTTAATAATGATGATGATGGTGCTCACTCTGCTGTATCTCGACGATTTAGCTAATTCTCAGGTCTTAAACTCGAGATTATCTAGGCCCATTTTAGCCGGCTGTCACCCACTCGATTATTTTTTTCAACGTTATGCATACGCATAGTCTCGTCGTTTAACAGGCAGTCTTAGATTTATATAATTTATAACTCAAATAAAACCTAAGGATTTATAATAATAAGTTCTTTTCAATTAATTAAGGTTTTCGTTGAGATAAAATTAATTGATTGAAAAGAATTTATTTGGTCAAGCGGACCACGAAACCTAATAAAATATAATAAGTACTAAAATAGTGTGAAGATTGAGAAAAATACATCTTATAATACAAAACAAACCCTTAAAGCGTTTAAATATTGTTAATGTTCAACGTTAATGTTAACATTTTTTAATTAATTAATATTTATGAAAAGTATTGGTCGAGATAAAAAAAGTCAGTGTCACGAGGATTCGAACCCACGCTCTTCAGATAAATACGCCGCTGCTCTACCACTTGAGCTATCGTGACTTCGATCAGCTCGGGCACTTACTTCCCATCTGAACCTCACCTCTCCAATTTTTTCTCTTTTCTGTCATTTTTCATTTTTGAGATGGAAAATGAATATTGAATACTTAATTAAAACGTAAGGAACATTGAAAGAAATCAATAAAACTATATTAAAAAAATGAAAACTAAAATACCTAAAACATGCACATATTTGACTACTTTAGTACAATGATTAATTATTATTAATTCTGTTTCAGCCCGAGTTACAGAGATGAGAATTCATACTGGGTAGGAGCTACGGACGACAGGGTCGAAGGAGACTTCCAATGGTCCGACTCACTCCCTTTCACATATACAAGTACGTTGTTCTTCAAGTACCAGCTAATAGAAATATTCACAGTAATCATAAATTTGATGAGACAATAATTAAATACAGAATAGTTTTACGCTATTAAAACTTCATTACTTAGAAACCGTATTAATTATATTCACTATTTTTCGAGGTCCACTTGACCAATTAATATCATTCAATTAATTAAAGTTCTTATTTGATATAAAAAAAGTCAGTGTCACGAGCGGGATTCGAACCCACGACATTCGGCTTGAAACGCCGCTACTCTACCATTTGAGCTATCGTGACTTCGATGCGCTCGGGCACTAACTTCCCATCTCAACCGCACCTTTTGAATTTTCCCTCCTTTTTGCCTTTTTGACAAATTGGCAATAAATTAATTGAATGATATTAATTGGTCAAGCGGACCACGAAAAATCGTGAATTTAATGAATTAAAACGAAGTATACTTCACTAAAGCTCTCCGTGGCCATTTCATTTGTCGCCGAGAATCAAATAGTTTACACGATATTTTAAAAAGGTCGTTGGTTCGAATCCCGCTCGTGACACTGACTTTTTATGGCAACTAAAAACCTTAGGAGCTAAAGACGACAGGGTTGAAGGAGACTTCCAATGGTCCGACTCACTCCCTTTCACATATACAAATACGTTGTTCTTCAAGTACCAGCTAATAGAAATATGTACTGTAATCATAAATTTGATGAGACAATAATTAAATACAGCATAGTTGTACGCTATTCAAACTTCATTACTTACCGTATTAATTATATTCTCTATTTTTCGTGGTCCGCTTGACCAATTAATATCTTTCAATTAATTAAGGCTTTTAGTTGAGATAAAATAGTCAGTGTCACGACCGGGATTCGAAAAAAAAGGCAAAAAGGAGGGAAAATTCAAAAGGTGTGGTTGAGATGGGAAGTTAGTGTCCGAGTGGATCGAGGTCACGATAGCTCAATTGGTAGAGCAGCGGCGTATTAAGCCGAAGGTCGTGGGTTCGAATCCCGCTCGTGACACTGACTTTTTTATCTCAACTAAAAACTTTAATTAATAGTAATTATTCGTAATAGTGGATAATGTTAGTGTTGAGTTGTAGTTGTTGATTATTCTGTTGATTATGTGTTTATAGGTTTAGCAGCCAAAATTAACCTATTTTTTATTTCAATTAATTATACTTTGTCTAAGGTCTTGTTGAGTTGCAAAAAAGCCGTAGGTCGTGGGTACGAATCCCGCCCGTGACACTTTTTCCCCTCAACCAAGACCTTAGGAAAAAGTATAATTATTCAAAATAATTTATACGATTCAATTAATTAAGGTTTTTAGTTAAGATAAAAAGTCATTGTCACGAGCGGGATTCGAACCCACGACCTTTGGCTATATTCGCCGCTGCTCTACCACTTAAGCTATTGTGACTTCGATCCACTCGGACACTAACTTCCCATCTCAACCACACCTTTTTAATTTTCCCTCCTTTTTGCCTTTTTTTTCGAATCCCGCTCGTGACACTGACTTTTTTATCTTAACTAAAAACCTTAATTAATTGAATCGTATAAATTATTTTGAATAATTATACTTTTGAAGTTGAGGGGGAAAAAGTGTCACGGGCGGGATTCGTACCCACGACCTACGGCTTTTTTGCAACTCAACAAGACCTTAGACAAAGTATAATTAATTGAAATAAACAATAGGTTAATTTTGGCTGCTAAACCTATATGGATTAACACAATAATTAAAGAAGTAATTATTCTCCCCTTGTGGCCACTTTATAAGTCGTTGAGTTCCTGAATAAACGATATTTGAAAAATTCAAAAGATTGTAGGTTGAGATGGGGAATTTGTATCCAAGTGGATCAAGTCACGATAGTTTACGTACAAAAGCAGCGGCGTATTTAGCTGAAGATTATGGGTTCGAATCCTGGTCGTGATGCTAACTTTTATCACATCTTATAACATCACAAACAAAACCTTAGATAAAAAGTATATTTAATTTTTTTAACGAGTGTATTTCAATTACGAGGTTATATGAACCCTGGACCATTACCTTGCAGTAATGAACGCCGTGTCAACGCCTAAACCGTTCCGGCCACCGACGTCCCAGATAATTAGTTGCAATAATTAAAAAAAATTGTAAAAAAAACCCTTATTATATAAACTGACTTTGTGCCTTAAAAAACTGATTTGTACTAATTACTTAATGCATACCTTTGACCGTTGGATTTTACCAATCGGGCTTTGTCTGATCCTGGTCAAGGTTAAAGTTAGATCGATACCATCATCAAAAGGAGCTTGGCCTTTCCCAACATATTCAAATAAGTTTCTTTATTAATTGAAAAGCCTTGTTTGCATTCATTAAATAAAAAATAAAAATCTATTTGCAGCTGAGTTTTCCGGAGTCAAAGGATAATATTCGGAATTATGCTTAATGGAGAAACCTTTCTGCCTTTAAAAATCTTTTTAAACTCATGGAATGTTTAAAAAAATATTACAAGAACTTGTTTGATCTTTTCATAGGCCAAATCTAATAAACATAATTAAATTTATTACTTAAAAGAAAAACAGCAAGAAAAAGAATATTTAAATATTGTTAAGTCTAACCTTAACTATGTACTGTACTGAAAAAAAAGGAGGGAAAATTCAAAAGGTGCGGTTGAGATGGGAAGTTGGTGTCCGAGTGGATCGAGGTCACGATAGCTCAAGTGGTAGAGCAGCGGCGTATCANCTCTCTCTCTCCCTCTCTCAATCTCAATCTCTCAATGCCTTCTCTATATGCTAAATTAAAGATCTTTTAAGAAAGTAGACCATCAGACTGATGTCCGATAATTCGAAAAATAAATTTAATTATTACTCCCGTCAATTCGTCCATATATAAATAGGTTGTGAACAAATGAGTAGGTACATAGAGATGGGCTGTATGAAGAATCCTTTAATCGGCACATTTATCAGCACTGGGGTAATCAATAGGAGCAATAAGCAGTAATCAATCAATTTTACACAAAATATACTCTTATAAACAAAATAAACCATTTAAAGACAACCGAAGTTTGCCCCCCAACTGCCACCACCAGGGGTGGGTGATTTTCAAGGACTGACGGCTATTTATTGAAAATTGCAAAAGCTGGGATTGCCGATGGACTGCGAGAATCGATAGGCTCAACTCTGAACCTGTTTGTATGTATGTATGGATTTGTGTGGATTTGAACCTAACGAATCCAAATCCAAATTCACATACAGACAATTATTTCTCTTACTAATGTTTTTTAGTTATGTTTTTATTTTTATTATTTATAATCTCACCATGTAGTCAATGTGCATTCTATAAATAATATTGAAATTATTGTAAACGTATTTTTCTAAACAAGAGATTACTTAAAATTGCGCAGATCTTTAACAAATTAATTTCAATAAAATAGACTTGGATAACATCTAAAAATGATGAATGATGAAGTGGGTGTGGTGTTCAATTCTTTTTTTTAAAAAAGTTCCTACTCACAGTACGTTGTTTTGCAACGATCAGGATTTCGAGCCCTTTAGCTCATCATCAGGTTGAAGGAATTCTAAGATCAGGTCTCTCGACATGAATTGCCAAAGTGAACCGCTGATACCTCCGCCAACGCGACGTTCCAATTAGCAGCTGGTTTTTTTAATGGCGCTCAATTTGAACGTGCGAAATGAATTATAACAAAAATAATGTATATATATACCATAATGGTTTGAGAAATTTGAAATTAAAAAATGTAAAATTGAACATGGTGATAAAAGCATTAATAATATAACAGATTTTGATCTCCCTCCCATTTTTAAATATGTACATAAATAATATGAAACATCCAAATAATTAAATTAATTATTTTAATTGTTATTATTTTTATAATAATTTAATAATATTAAGGTATCATTCTAATTGTTTATCTTTTATATTTAATCACTAATTTATAATTAATTTCTTACAGTATTTATTATTATAATATTGATTTGGTTTATAATTTCCGCTTTTCGCACGTTCAAATTGAGCGCCATTAAAAAACCAGCTGTTAATTAGAACGTCGCGTTGGCGGAGGTCATGTCGAGAGACGTGGTTTTAGAAGTCTCAACCTGATGATGAGCTAAAGTGCTCGAAATCCGGATCTTTGCAAACTAACTTACTGTGAGTAGGAACTATCTTTTTTAAAAAAAGTATTGGATAAACATCTTGTTATAATTACATTGTACTTACAGATTGACAGTACAATCATGCTGCGTATCAAAAGTAAAAACCTTTTAAAACGTAAAAGAAAGTATGTATATTAAATTCGAGATGAACCTAATAAAAGATCTTGGATGGAGTTCGTCTCTATCCTTAATTAACATTGTTACCGTCTGTTTTACGAACATCTCCACAAGGGTATAAGATGAGGCAAAAGAAGTCGGAATAATTTATTCTGAACGACTACAAAGAAAAAAACAAGACATTTATTTCAACTTTGTGAGTCGGCAAAACGCAAATGTTTAAATATTATAACATGATTATTCGGAGATCGTAAGATGCGGTCTGGTGTGACGTAGGTTTTAGAAAAAATATTTTCTTAATCGTGCCAACGTTTCGATCTTTATTGAAATCATCTTCAGGGCCTGGGATTTCCAAACGTTGTTTTAATTTAACAAATACATGTACGATGTGGAAAAAAAAATGAAATTGCACTATGTAAAAAATTATTTTTTATATTCAATCAAGGTATTTCTACTGACTCAAAGTTGTTTTCTGCGTAATTGTGCCATTCTTGTGTGTCGTGTTGAGAGTGCCAGTGAAATATTGCTGTTTTTATGTTTATATACGTTGGATTTTGAAGGGGTGGGGAAGGTAGTCTGTATAGAAAGATATTTTTATATGAGAAGTCAGCTTCTTTGAAGTGAAAGGAGCCGGCAATGGGAAAAACGTTGGTAATGGTTCGGCCAGATTATCCTTTCAGGATTATATAATATAAAGAGCATAAAGAATATAAAGATATACAAACTGATCCTCCATAATAATCACTACCCTAAACACATAATCAACAGAATAATCAACAACTACAATTCAACACTAACATTATCCACTATTACGAATAATTACTATTAATTAAAGTTTTTAGTTGAGATAAAAAAGTCAGTGTCACGAGCGGGATTCGAACCCACGACCTTCGGCTTAATACGCCGGTATTCTACCACTTGAGCCATCGTGACTTCGATCCAATCAGTCACTAACTTCTCATCTCAACCACACCTTTTGAATTTTCCCTCCTTTTTGCCATTTTTCAAATGTCGTATAATCGGATTGGATTCTGGACGACAAATGAAATGGCCACGGAGAGCTTTGGTATAGTACACATCATTTTAAATCGTTAAATTCTTTAATTTCGTAGCCGCTTGACCAATTAGTATATTATAATTAATAAATCATAAAATAAATGTACTAATTGGTCAAGCGGACCACGAAATTAGTGAATTTAATGATTTAAAATGAAATGGCCACGGAGAGCTTTAGTGAAGTTATACTTCATTTAAACTTATTAAATTCACTAGTTTCGTGGTCCGCTTGGGCAATAAATTACGGTTTTTTGTTGAGATATGGGAGTTGGGATCGAGGTCACGATAGCTCAAGTGGTAGAGCAGCGGCGTATCTAGCAGAAAATCGTGGGTTCGAATCCCGCTCGTGCCATTCCCTATTTATCTCAACTAAAAACCTTAATTAATTGTAATATACTAATTGGTCAAGCGGACCACGAAATTAGTGAATTACTAATGATACTACATCAAATATATCAAATACAGATAAACCAGATATATCTGGACATCTAGTATTGTGACGTCGATCATTCGACGGCACGACAAATAAGGGTCCAACACTTCTAAAACTTGGGATAGTAAAGGGTAGAGGAAAAGTAAAATAAAACAAATAAAACACGCTGAAATCGACTGAAAACAAAATATATTTACAAGACAAATATATACTAGCTAAACCAAAATTGTAACATAGGGTAAGTGAGACGTTTAACTCTTCTTCCCAATTCCAACCTGCAACCACACAACGGTACAGCACAATCGCTCACCCTGGTGGTAACTAAATTATGGCAGAATTTATGTTAGGTTCGAGCAACCGTTATCGAGTCTAGAACACACCTGATCGCTTTTTTCCAGTTCAACTCCAACATCTCCCCTCCTTCAACCTTCCCCCACTCAACATTCTAATGTGCCCCATTCACTTTCCAAAAGTGACTGAAAGTGTCATCCCCAAAATGTGAGGGTGACAGTATCAAAGAACTTGTTCATGTGGCTTGTTCGTTCTTTTATGATCAAGGTTATTTTTAAAGTCCACTAGTCCACAGATTATGGTGTACATTTTTAGTAGATACTAGAATGCTTAAAACGTGCTGTGTAATATTCGTATTTTCAACTTTTTTTCGTTTTTTTACAGACTGGTTCCCCGGATGGCACGGTGGCGAGGTGAACCAACAGCCGAACGACGACGGCCTCAGCGACCAGGACTGCGTCGAACTGCGCCGACTTTATAAACTCCCTGGATTTTCAAGGGCTTCCGACTTGGCAGAGACGTTCATGTGGAACGACAGAGACTGCAAGCATGACAATCTTTACATCTGCGAGCGACTCGTGTCCGGAGGTGCGTTTGAAATTGACAGATTTCTAAACATGAAACGCATTAACAATATAAGTCCGCGTTCAAAGAAATACACTTTTCAACAAAAGAGTTTAGATGACTTTAAAAAAAGAAAAGAAATTTTGGATTAGGAATTATAATAAATATATGTACACACATGTACCTATTCAGAGTCTCACTCATTCTTAAAAACATTCCCTCCTATCTACATACCATTTATTCAATTATTGTGGTGGTGTCGTCGATATTGCTCCATCACTCTTTATTCGTATAATATAATTAACCTACTTAATTGAGGGTCGATTCGCTACTTACCATCGACTCTCTCGAGTACACATTCACACTAATAAATAAATTCACTCTCCACATACATGAGGTTCCCGCATACGCGGTCATCCTAAAAAGGATTCTGAGGATCTATACTGTCTGCACCTAGCCTATTCGGCCTTATCGGACGTTTTCATTCTCAAGATGAGAGCTGACGCATCACCTCCGCATACGACAGGATGGTGTTACTGCCGCAGCATTGGTGTAGAAGCAGCTCAGCCCCGAAGGGCCAAGACAACTTCGCTCCCCGCTTGTTCATTCCGAGTGGTCGGGTCTGCATTATGCATCAGACCGTATGCCGCGGCGCAAAGTGCTACCTAAGCCGAAATACATCAGCCCGGTCTCCCGCGCACTCCCTAGATAGAGAAGGCTACTTTATCTCCCAGAGTATTGGGGCTTCTTTAGCGTAGAAACTACCGGATCCGCTCCGGCCGTGGTTTCGATTAAAGTGGGATTTCTAACCACCTCCTAGAGGAGTACCGCCTACGGTAAAGCCTCATATCGAGCTCAGCCTACACCTACGTGGAAAGCATACTCGAGTAGAAGCAACCCGTTCCATCCGCCACTACTCACGCATTCGAGGGACTTTCCAGCACAATCATCAAGCCTCAATGTCTATATGCTGCCGTCCGATCCGCCGTATCCCGTTGGCCGCGTGTATAACGGTGGTCATACGCAAGCTTCGTGCGAAGATCACAGGTAGAAGACAGGCTCTTCTCTAAGTTCCCGCCAGGGGCTTCACCACGTAACACTACGAATCCATTCCCATTGTAACAGAGGGTGAATTTGGAACATATCTGTTACCACGTAGTATAGATGGTTATGCAGCTTCCCCCTTCTATGCAGAGCGGATCTGGTACCTTAACCCTCATGTGCCTCTGATAACGCACCCGCCGCCCATGCCGGGCGACACGAGTACAGCTTGTGCTTTAGAGAGGTTGCCACGCCCTCTGGGCTACAATATTATTTTGCGCCCGGTATGGTATGGTATGGTATGGTGGAAGGGATGCCGGGAAGCGGGGCTTGTGTTCCCCAGGCACTGCAGCCTTCTGGCGTATTGTACCTTCCCAGTTCCCTAGTTTAGTCAATAGACTCAATCCTTCTTCTCAGAAGTATCAGGTCATTGACTGTTATTGCTGCAACTTGGTTCCCTGAGTCTTTTTCGTACGTTAGGTTAAACCTCCATTGAGCTGTTGCTTCGCATTCGAAGATGATATGAGTGGCTGTTTCCTCCTCCTCATTACATAATCTGCAAATGGGGTCATCGCTATATATACCCATATTGTGTAGATGTTTTCTCAGATACCAGTGACCGGTTAGTAGTCCCACCACTCCTCTGAGCCCGGACTCTCCACATACAACTAGGGACAAAAATCTATCATTCCCATACAAAAGAAAACACCCTTTTTTCACTAAAAATCGGAACGGGGGCCCAGATACTCGCTGCCGTGCTTAAGCACGATTCTCATATTAGGTGGCAATCCTACACGCTCTCTATATTGAACCAAGGCGTTGCCCCCTTCCTATACATCGGGGTATACATCGAGCAAACTTTCTCTACATGCCTGACGCAAAGGCGAGCTTGGTCGAAAGGAAGTGTCCGTGTGTCAACTTCGCATGGCTTATCAATCGAGTGAGAATGACCCTTCTTCTACCTTCGACTGTGGTCTTGTTATGCGAGAGCTTCTCTGCCTACCCGGTCCACCAGTGTTACCACTTTCTTTTAGTCATATTTTATTGCATATTTATCGTCAGAGGGCGTGATCGCGGTGATTAAGTCCGGAGGTCACGTCCTCCCGGTCTTAGTATAATGGTTATCTTAGTATTTCTAAGCTCATTTTATGTAAATATTACTTTCTATAAACCCTTGTATCCTTTACATAGACTTCTTTGTTTAAATAAAACCATTGTCGTAAAATAAATATCGTTGAGTGAATGAATAATTAAAGACAGTTGGAATTACTAATTGTCACGATAACAATCGCATTTATTCGCTTCGGATCGTCTGGTATATTTTTCACGTAATTTTCAGTTTGTCCCAATTCAAAGAATTTCGTTCATTGTAGCGCATTGTTTGTGAAATACAATTGAAATTGAAGAACCGAACAATTTAGGTTTTAATCAAAATCACTAAGGCTGTAATATTTTCTTAATTGACCCAAAACCGGATTAATTTCATCAAGAAGCCAATATTTTCAAAATGAGCAAACTTATATCCAGAAACAAACACAAATACATACTCTAACGCATTCAAGTTTGATTTGTCACTCTCTCACTTTTTCCCTTTTTATCCTTTTCTATTTTTCCCCTTTGCAATATTTTTCATGATATCCATTTTAATATCCCCCATCCTTTATTTTCCGCTCCAGGTATCTCTTTACTCTCTCCATCTCTCTCTCACTTTCTCTCTCTCTCTCTCTCACTGCCATCTTTCTGTCTTCCCCGTATATCTACTTCAGGTTTCTCATTTTATGTAGTTTGTATCTGTTTACCGATTTGCTCTCCTACATTGTTCCATCCATGTTTTTCTATCCATGTACTTGTCGTTTATATTTTCTCTCTGACAAATAAATTTTGCCCGGCTTTGTACAACTGCACATTTTTACAGTCTTCTCTCTTTTTCTGCCCTTTTTCCTTATCAAATTTTCAAAAAAAATTTCTCTTCGTTTTATTCGTTTTCCTTCTCTCTCTCCCTTTTAAAAATAATCAAACTTCAACGACTACGAAAAAAATCTATCAATCATCATCCCACTTCCCCCATTGGTTTTTTCGTTTCACTTTTTCTCTCTCCTTCTTCACACCTCTCTCAGTCTGTTATTCACACTCTATCTACCCATCTGTTTATCTCTCTCTCCCTCCCCCCTCACTCTCTCTCTCTATCTATCTATCTTTCTCTAATCTTTTTTTTATTTACCCTTTCTATACGTAATTGATGAGTAAACATGTTTTATAAACAAATCTGTAATGCTGTTCCATTTTAGACATTTGTGGCAACCTTGAATTTAATTATCACGCCAACAAATTTCTCTCTCACCCTCTCTTAATAGCTCTCTAAATATTATAATTGAAGAATTTTGGTTTTCGTTCATGGGCAAGCAACGTACTACTAATGTTTTGATGTGGTTGATATTAGGCTTAGTATTAAATTTATTTCGCGTAATTTCTGATTTTCTATGTTTAATTATAACTAACGTCTAGGAAAAAGGGTTTAAACGGCATAACTGACCAAAAAAAATCGTTTTACAGTTTAAGTATTCACACAACTCATACATTACTAACAACATCAATTCAATTATATTTTATAAAATAATTTTTACCTTAAAAAAAGTAATGAAACAAGTGTCAATATAATTAGGGAGGTCAATGTTAGAATTTTAGTATATTTAATTATTAAAAAATCCGCTGTGAAAGGTAAAGGGCATTCCATCGATATAAAAAACTAGTATGTTTAACTGTGTATTTATACTAATTTATTTACGAAAGCTAAAACGGAAAATATTTCTTTTTGCCCTTAATAATCCGCTTGCCACGATATTGTGAAGTGTTTGCTTTGATTCTGCCTTGCGATCTTCTTCTCTCTGGCCAACAGCGTTTACTTTTAATTTCGGTTAAAAGCATATTCTAAAAAGACGTGTCTCGAGTCACGTACAAGTGTTGGTTCATGCTAAATTATACAAAAACGTTAACTAGCTGTTGTACGAAAACAGTGACGCAGTTGAAACACTTGTACGTGAAAAAATTTCAACTTTTATGAGTTTTTTGTTCTTCGCAGATGACCAGCTGGTCTTCATTAAGAAAACAAAACTAATCAATACTAATTACCAATGTGGGTAATTGTTTTTAATTAATTAAAGTTTTTAGTTGAGATAAAAAAAAGTTAGTGTCAGGTTTTTCATTGATAGAACTAGTTTTTTATCGCATCCGGAGGTGTATTAATCAACTCCTGAAAAATCTCTTCTTTTAGATTTTTTTAACGGTTTTTTATTGAGATGATAAAGTCAATGGCACGAGTGGGATTCGAACCCACGATGTTCGGCTAGATACGCCGCTGCACTACCACTTGAGCTATCGTGACCTCGATCCACTCGAACACTAACTTCCCATCTCAACCCCACCTTATGAATTGTCCCTCCTTTTTGCCATTTTTTTTTTCAAATGTCGTGTAATCTATTTGATTCTCGGAGACAAATGAATTGGCCACGGAGAGCTTTAGTGAAGGTATACTTCATTTAAATTTATTAAATACACTATTTTCGCGGTCCGCTTGGCCAATTAATATCTTTCAATTAATTAAGGTTTTTAGTTGAGATAAAAAAGTCAGTGTCACGAGCGGTGTTCGAAAAAAAGGCAAAAAGGAGGGAAAATTCAAAAGGTGGGGTTGAGATGGGAAGTTAGTGTCCGAGTGGATCGAGTTCACGATAGCTCAAGTGGTAGAGCAGAGGCGTATATAGCCGAAGGTCGTGGGTTCGAATCCCGCTCGGGACACTGACTTTTTTATCTCATCTAAAAACCTTAATCAATTGAAACAATATTAATTGATCAACCGGACCACGATACTAGTGAATTTAATTGTTTTTAATAATACGTAAGACAAGCCTGTATCGGGAATATTACATTTAAAAAAATCGAAGAAATTTTTTTTTTAAAACACCAGATTTGTGGTTTAAAAAAAATAGTTTCTATACATTGTAAGCGATTTAAATATGTGCCTGATAATTCAATCTAGAGTTGGAAAAACTGTCTAAAATAGAACCACATTACAGATTTGTTTATAAAACTGGTTTACTCATCAATTACTTATACAAAAAGTAAATAAAAAAAGATTATAGTCAGAGATAAACAGTTGGAGAGGTAGAAAGTGAGTAAGAGTGTTAGAAAAATATAGAGATGCGAAAAGGTAGAAAAAATCAAAATGAGAAAACGAATAGGAAGTGTGGGAGAACGATTTATTTTATTTTATTTTATTTTATTTGTTTATTTTATTTATTTATTTTTTTATAGTCGCAGAAATTTGGTCATTGTCAGATAAATGGATAGATAGATGGATAGATAGATAGATAGATAGATAGATAGATAGATAGATAGATAGATAGATAGATAGATAGATAGATAGATAGATAGATAGATAGATAGATAGAGAGAGAGAGAGAGAGAGAGAGAGATGGAGAGAGAGGGAGAGATTGAGAGAGAGGTGCGAAAGAGGAAGGGAGAGAAAGAGACAGATATAGACAAACAATGAGTGAGAGATGTTGAGAGGTTGGGACAGGGAGCAAGACAGAATGAAAGAAACAGTGATTTGAGGGAAAATATAAAGATAGATAGAGAGCTAGAGAGAAAGAAAGGTTGTTATAAATAGAATAAGTGTGTCCCTATGAAACGAAGAAGATATAAATAAAATAAGTAAAAAAAACAAATCTGCAGATGGTAAATTAAGAGGAATTCAAAAACATGCAGAAATAAAAGGGTACAAATGATTTTAAGAAAATAGAACAGTAAATAGAGAATGAGGAAGAGAGAGAAAGAGTTAGTAAGAGAGAGAAACAGAAAGACAGACGATAGAAAGTGAGAACGAAAAACGAAAAAAAATGGAAAGTCGAATGAATAGATATAGAGCGAAGAAAAAATAAAAATGAAAGTGGGTAATGGCAAAAATACACATAAAAGATGTAAAAAGAATGAAAAAGGTAAAAGAAAATTTAAGAAGAAATAAAATGAGTTGTAATTGTAACAGGGATTATAAAATAAAGTAAGTGTGTACTTATGAAACGTAGGAAGTAAAAATGTAAGCAAGTGAAAGAGAAAAAATGCGGAAGGAAAGATTAAGAAAAATTTAAAAAACATACAGCAAATGAATTTAAAAAAAAATAGGTGAGAAAAGAGTGAGCTTGTGACTGCAACTACCAAATAAAGTAATTCAAAAATGGAAAAATGTACTAATAAATACTGAAACTGAGAAAGCCCAAATGTCAACATTTGGATGATAAACTGTTTCTAATACCCCTAGAAATATTCCAGTCCTATTGCATTGCATCAAAAATCTGTTGAATTCTTTGTTCATGATTGAGTTATTATTTACAGAACGAATGCTAACCAAGGAAGAGTTAAAAGGAGCGGAATGCAACCGGACGATTATTCTTACATCGGAAGATCCTAGGACGACCGTCACGTCGCCGGAATTCCCTCGGCCCTACCCAGACGAAACGGTGTGCCTGGTGAAAATTGAAACACCCCTCTTTTTCACCATCCTTCTTGAATTCGAAGAACTTGTACTGGAGCACGAACCAACGTGAGTATTTTCAACACAATTGTCTTCAAATAGCGCGGAAAAGGTTAATATTTGTTATAATTTTCAATTAATTAAAGTTTTTAGTTGAGATAAAAAAGTCAATGTCACGAGCGGGATTCGAACCCACGACCTTCGGCTAGATACGCCGCTACTCTACGACTTGAGCTATGGTGACTTCGATCCACTTGGACATTAACTTCCTATCTCAACCCCACCATTTGAATTTTCCATCCTTTTTGTCATTTTTAACTTAATTAATTGAAAGTTATTAATTTGTCTAGCGGACCACGACAACTCCACAGTTTTCTTTTTAATTCTACAAATATCCTCGTTACACTGGCATTTGGTTACTATATTTTGTGAGGTTGACAGCCTTTGAATATTTAATCATTGTAATCCACCATTACGTGATTTATCGGCGTGTGATAAGAGTTGGCACTAATTCTAGTTGGAACATCGATTGATATTCGAAGGCAATACAAATTGACAGATTCCCTCGAATTTATATGACCGTTTTTCCGTTTTTTTCCTAATGTGTGGTGATTAGTGACCGTTAAGCGATAATTATTCAGAAATCGTGAGATGCGGTCTGGTGAGATGTAGGTTTCAGAAAAACCTTTTCTTTATCGGGCCAACGTTTCGATCTTTATTGAGATCATCTTCAGGGCTCAAAGTGTTTCTCTTCTGTGTAATTGTGCCATTCTTTCGTGTCGTGTTGAGAGTGCCAGCTGACGCCAACACGACACGAAAGAATGGCACAATTACACAGAAGACAAACACGTTTCTGAAAACTACATCACACCAGATCGCATCTCACGATTTCTGAATAATTATTTTTTTCTCATATTCGTATTTACTGGATTACATTTTTTGTTTAAATTTTACGTTTCTATATATCAAGATGGCTTACCATAGACAAAAAGCCACTATCCAAACACCAATATTTATTCGATTTTTAACAACATATAGGAGGGGGGGTCTGTGGCCGCAACGGTTTAAGCGTTGACACGGCGCTCATCACTGTAAGGTGAAGATCCCGGGTTCGAACCCAGCAGTCCTGCATTCGCACCCGACATACTTACAAATGGCCTTTTTTTCAAAAACACCGGCACCCTGAGGGTTTATATGACCTCTGCGGTTGCGAACCCTCTTAAAAAAAAACACGCTGAAGTTGTGGTTAAGAACTAAATAAGGTTAAGTACTAAATAAATTATTCCTATAAGTTATTAGTTATTAAGAACTAAATAAAATTGGTATTTTATAAACGTATGTTTACTTTTATTATACATTAACCTTATTAGAAAAATATTACCAATTAGCTTTATTAAAAATTTAGATTGTATTATTGATTAAGTTCCTCGCCTTTGAGGATCGGGTAAAAATATTGTCGACATTTATAAAAGATTGATTAAACAACAAACATAAAAAAACACATCATTTTCACATACATATAGACAAATAAATGAGTAATGTTGAATAAAATATATCTTAACGGTACTTCCTGTAAACATGTTCAATAATAAAATCGAAAAATTATCCATAAAAATAATTTTTTATTTTAGAAAAACGCATGGGAACAATGGTTTCCTCGTTTAAAAATAACACAAATTATACAGCTACCATCTAAATTTAACGATATCCTATCGAATAAAATTAAAAAGAGTACAGACAGTAAATTTTAATAGATATCCTTTTGTATCTTTCTAATTTTGAATTTTGGTGCATATTAATTAATATTCAAAAAATGCCCAATTAAGTGTACACAAATTTTTTCGAAATGAAAAATTTATGTCACAGACGGGATTCGAACCCACGACTTTCGGCTCAATACGCCGCTGCTCTAGCACTTGAGCTACCGTTACTTCGATCGCCCATGCCACAAACTTCTCATTTCGACTACCCGATTTTATTCTAATTATCAGCAAATCGCGGCTTCATATAGAAACACTTTTTATTAACGATTATTCTAGATTAGCGGGACTGTGTACGATTCACAAGTGTGATTCTAGATTAATACTAAATTTTATCAGCTTGTATTAAATATATAAAAACTCAATTAACTGTACACAATTTTTTTCGAAATGAAAAATTTGTGTCAGGCGGGATTCGAACCCACGACTTTCGGCTCAATACGCCGCTGCTCTACCACTTGAGCTACGGTTACTTTGATTGCCCATATAGAAACACTAGAAATCATGAAGCCGCGATTTGCTTATAATTAGAATAAAATCGGTTAGTCGAAATGAGAAGTTTGTGGCATGGGCGATCAAAGTCACGGTAGCTCAAGTGGTAGAGCAGCGGCGTATTGAGCCGAAAGTCGTGGGTTCGAATCCCGCCTGTGACACAAATTTTTCATTTCGAAAAAAATTGTGTACAATTAATTGAGTATTTATATATTTAATAGAAGCTGATAAAATTTAGTATTCAAAAAATGTACCATTACAAATAGTTAAATATACAAGGTATGAGGCAAGCTAAGAGATGTGTAATTCTCTGAAGAAAAAAAAGACGAAGAAACTGTTTTCTCTCTCTACAGGCAGGATTAGAAGAAATTAATAAGCCTATACATATACCATTGCTCTCACCACCTAAAGAAGACGGGCAAAGCACAAATGCCGATGCAAAGCAGAGACGTCGACACATGTCTTTGGGAATGTCAAATATTAGCCCGGTTACAGTACAGTCATTTCGGTAAGGCAATTCTCACACCAAAAAGGCGAATCAAGAGGCACCGAAAAAAGTGCTTAGTTTTATAGGAAAAATTCACCCGGATTGACTATAACTTATGTTTTTTCCTTCTCGAAGATGGGATAATAGGTCATCTAAAAAAACAACAACCGGTTTTTCTTTCGATCCATGTCGTTTCGGATTTATTTTAATCCTTCCTCAGGTGAGTTAACGCAGTGGTTAAGACAGTGGTCGTCAATCATTAATGTTTTGTAACAGTTTATTATACAAAATAGTCATTATGGTACATATTTAAGTCTTTCAGACTCGGAACAGACATTTTAATATTTTGAACCTGACTAACTCTAGGATTGACTTTAGATGTTCCACAATATACCACTATACAATGCAGTGGAACAATGGATTTTTAAAATAGTTGCTCAATTGAAAATTAGATTACTTTATACATGCCAGTTATGACAAACTGTATACACTTTGCCCCGTAAAATGTTAACTAAAAATCTGAACGTGTTAAGAAGTTATTATCACAATTAATTATGGATAACTTATATTATATATAATTTTTATATTTAAAAAAAAAAAAAAACTCTTGTAGAATTTAACCTTCATATCAAAGACCAGCTATTATTGGCGTAATTTAAACGGGGACAATTTGCTGTAGATCAGTCTGGTCGTCTCAACAACACAATATTGCATTTTTATATTTGCCCACTCCATTATTACCTAAACAACCAATATTCGACTTATACACAATCACTAACTACTGACGACAATTCATTATGGACTGCTACAAGAAAAATCCTCAAATATAAAACCACATCTCTTCCTCTACAACGGTCAGATGGAACTTGGGCTAAATCCGAAGAGGACAAAGCCCAACTCCTAGCCCAACACCTCTCTGCAGTATTCAATCCAACCCAGACATCCAAGACCTCCACCATTCTGAAAAAATGCTTAACGAACTTGACGAACCACTACCTCTCTCCCTCCCTCCAAAACCTTTCTCCCCTAAAGAAGTCAAGCAGGCCATCCTAAACCTTTCCAAAAAGAAATGTCCAGGTTACGACATAATCACTCCCATCATCCTATCCCAACTACCTAAAAAAGCCATTATCTTTACAACCTACCTATTCATCGCTGTCCTACGTACAAACCATTTCCCCACCTGTTGGAAAATTTCTTCCATCAGGATGCTCCCAAAACCTAAGAAACCAAATCACCTTCCTAGCTCCTACCGACCCATCAGTCTTTTGCCCATTATTGGAAATACTGGAAAAGCTCCTATTGAACCGCTTGACCAAGGAAATTCCTACAAACACAATTCCCCATCACCAATTCGGCTTTCGGAGTTGCCACTCAACTGTACAACAAGCAAATCGCATAATCGACGTTATTTCCACATCCCTTGAGCTAAAACAGTATTGTCCGGGTGTGTTCTTGGATATACACCAAGCCTTTGACCGAGTAAGGCATTCTGGGCTGCTGTGGAAGCTCAAGAACATCCTCCCAGCAACCTATTACCTTAACCTAAAATCCTATCTTAACGATCGTTTCTTCCAAGTATCCCACAAAAATTCACTGTCTCCTATCCATCCTTTTCTTGCAGGTGTCCCACAGGGTAGCGTGCTCGCTCCTTTACTTTATTCAATTTATACCTCCGACCTACCTACGCAACCTAACACTATCACCTTCACCTTTGCCGATGATACCGCAATCCTTTCTCCTGATAAAGATCCTGTCACTGCTTCCCGTAATCTTCAAAATCACCTAAACACCCTAGAATGCTGGCTCCGTCGGTGGAGAATCAAGATCAACGAAACCAAATCAACGAACATAATATTTACTCTAAACAAGACAACACTCCCACCAGTATACCTCAACGTCCCCATCCCAATTGCGAACCATGTACGATACCTCGGACTCTTCCTGGACAAACGACTGACGTGGAACCTCCATACACGACTTAAACGCACAGACTGTAATATACGATTTTTCATGCTTAAACGACTACTCGACAGACGATCAAAACTCTCACTAATAAACAAAAGAAAACTTTACGTTGCCCTCCTGGCCCCCATTTGGACATACGGTCTTGAACTTTACGGTACTGCTAAGCGTTCCAACCTCAATCGAATCCAATCCCTTCAATCTAAAATCCTCTGAACAATAGTACAAGCCCCTTTCTATGTATCCAATCACACCATCCATACCGACCAAAATGTCCCTTTTTTTACCGAGCTAGCCCATTCCCGCTACAAAACGTTCCATTCCAAACTACTCCATCATCCGAACCCTTTCGTCCAAAACCTGTCATCCACCACATTACCTAATAATCCCAACAGAAGACTGAAGCGTCGGTGGCCCCGCGACAACCTTAACAATTGACATCGGTCTCCTACGAAGTACATCTCGCTCATCGTATTGATTAACTAACGGCTACCATCACTGGATGGTAATTGTTCAAGATTTCACGCTACCGTTAATAATTTTATATGTAAATACTATCTGCTTTACTTGTTGCGTCGAAGAATGCAGTTGTAAAAAACAAATAAAAAGTTTAAAAAAAAAATATTTGCCCACTCCATTTAATCGAAAAAGGTGCGATTAGGCCGCCAAAAGGTCGACGCGATGGAGCCGAAAGGATACGAACGGCTTTTACGCTTTTGCGCCTCCTGCCCCTTTATACACAGAGATATTTGAATTATAAAAAGGGTCGCAATGTCAGACCCGAAACGCTGTTTTTCTGGAGATCATTCCGCCATTCAATAATGAATGGGAAAAGGGGAACCTTTTTCCCGGCCGGCGGTTAATACGGCCAGCAGTTCTGGTTTATTTAAAAACACTGCCCAACTCTTTACCTATTTATCGTGGTAATCCTTTCCTTAAATTACGGATGCGTTTTGTTCACGCCATTGTTGAATAAAGTCCCAAAAACCAAGTGTAACTGCCAGCATAAATACTTAACTTTAAATTTCCTACAGCCCTTTGGCATCAGCGTCGCCGCTGATAAATAAACTAAAGTATCGGATCCTTGGAAAAGAAATGGGCAATCTGAAAAACAAAAGGTCTTATTCCTGTGAGTCGGAAGATTAATAATTGTCCGAGATGTCAACGAAAAGTAAGCACAGTACAAATTATTTATAACAATACTGATTATAAGGAACGACCTGTCATAACGTACAAAATCTCGAAAACATAGAAAACCGTTAAATCCGTTATCACGAACATATTTTGGGATCCTTGGAGTCGTATATCGGTTATAGCGGACATCATGTAAAAGTAAACACAGATGCCTAATGATTCTAGGATTGATTCTTCTCCCTTCCTTGAACTCTACAAGTCTCTCTCAAGTTAGCACAATAGGCAGACGACATATGCTTATATGCGATCGGAAAATCAATTGATGCATGCAAACAGGCTATCAGGGAGATCACCGAAATTTTATCTAAGTGGTTGGAAAGAAACGGGTTAGAAATTTCACAACAGAAATCTGTGCTATGTCCCTTCACCAACAAACGCTCAATTCCTTTGGCTGATTTCGAAACTCTAAATGTCTATCAATTTCCAGTAAAGCACAATGTAAAATTTTTGGGTTTATTTATAAATAAGAAACTTTCATGGAACTTGCATATTAAAAATCTGTTGTTAAAGTGCGAAAAACTATATAACATTTTTAAAAGTTTTTGTGGAACAAAATGGGGAGCTGATCCGTCAGTGGGATTGCTGTTCTATACGTCATCCATTAGACCGGTCTTGATTTTGGTTCTGTTTTTTATGGACACGCCTCTCGATCTTTCCTTTAAAAAATTGATACGTTTCGTAACGCTTGCCTAAGACGAATTCTGGGCTGTCTACCTAGTACTCCAATTATATCATTAGCGGCTGAGACACGTGAAACTTTTTTGGAAATAAGACGGCTAAAGTTGGGTTTAAATTTTCTTATCACACTCTATAGTCAGGACAGCCAAAATTTTAAAAAGATTATCACTCTCACTGAAAAAGTAAATATTGAGGCGTACTGGGGAAAAAAGAACCCTTCATCATTAGTCTGCTTTCACTCATATCTTACCCTTCATATACTCGCTGCAGCAAAATTCCATAGACTCTGTATACAAGTTAGAATACAGTTTATTGATTACTGCAGCAGATATTGATTATTTAAAAGACTATTCTCAAGCCTCTCCCAATTTTGCTCAAAAAGAATTTGTGGCAGATATGATAGAATTATATCCAGATTATCAACTTATCTTTACAGATGGGTCTCTGTTGGATGGAAATTTGGGATGTGCTTTTTATGTTTTCAATAAAGAATACAAGGAACAATACGTCCTTCCCAATCAAATCACCGTGTTCTCAGCTGAACTTACCGCAATAGACAGAGCTTTGGATTATATCAAAAAGCAGAATGAAACTAAATTTTGCATACTTTCAGATTGCAGAAGCGCCTTAGATGGTATTAACAACTTATCCCCAAACTATATAGGCAGTAATTACATTTTTACAGAAGTGAGAAAAAACTTTTTGACCTTAAAGTCGCAGGGAAAATTGTGAAATTAAGATGGATTAAGGGTCATGCAGGGATCAAAGAGAACGAGTTTGTAGATGCTTTGGCTAAAGAGGCCACAACATCTGGCATACGTTACGACATAAAAATTCCATAATCTGGCGCAAAAAGTTATGTGCATAAATTATGTTTAGAACTTCGGAAGAAAGAATACAATTCAGTCCATACCGGAAGCTATTACTGGTCATTCTACCCTACTCTTAAGTCGAAACCGTGGTTTTCAGAATTTATTAGGCCCAAGGATTATCATCAGTTTTTAGGTTATAGACGAATCATGGCCTTTGGGGATGTTATTTGTATAGGATCGGGTTACAGACATCTCCCAACTGCCCAACTTGTGACTGCCCATCAAACCCTGGTCACATACTAGAGTGCCCGGAATTTGAACGAGAAAGAGATATACTTTTTAATGATTTGCGTTCCATCCCAAGTGTTTCCTGGCCTATCAATCTAGAGACGTTCCTTGCCAGTAACAACATTAAAATTTTCGACTTGATCTACAGATTTCTTAAAGAAGGGAAACTTTCCCTTTAAATAACATGTTACACTCTACATGTCTTGAAAAAAAAATTGACTTACTCAGTTTGATTTTGTTTACGAATCACAACGCCTTGTCGGTCATTTTCTGTTGAGGAAAAATTGGAGATAATTTTTCGGATCGAAGAGGTCGATAGTGCGAGTGAAATGGGGACGTCTCCTTCTACAATATCGAGAATTTCAATTAATTAGGGTTTTTAGTTGATTTAAAAAAGTCAGTGTCACGAGCGGGATTCGAACCCACAATCTTCGGCTAATTCCAGGCTAATCTAACTTCCCATCTCAACCTCACCTCTCGAATTTTCCCTCTTTTCTGCCATTTTTCGAATGTCGTGTAATCTATTTGATTCTCGGCGACAAATGAAATGGCCACGGAGAGCTTTAGAGAAGGTATACTTCATTTTTAATTATTAAATTTACTAGTTTTAATGGTCCGCTTGACCAATTAATATCATTCAATTAATTAACGTTTTTAGGATAAAAAAGTCAGTGTCACGAGCAGGATTCGAACCCACGTTCTTTGGCTTGATACGCCGCTGCACCACCACTTCAGCCATCTTGACTTCGATCCGCTCGGACACTAACCTCCCATCTCAACCCCACCTCTCGAATTTTCCCTCTTTTCTGCCATTTTTCAAATGTCGTGTAATCTATTTGATTCTCGGCGACAAATGAAATGGCCACGGAGAGCTTTAGTGAAGGTATACTTCATTTAAACTTGTTAAATTCACTAGTTTCGTGGTCCGCTTGTGCAATTAATATCTTTCGATTAATTAAGGTTTTTAGTTGAGATATGGAATTGGGATCGAAGTCACGATGACTCAAGTGGTGGAGCAGCGGCGTATCTAGCCGAAGATCGTGAGTTCGAATCCGGCTCGTGACACTGACTTTTTTATCTCAACGAAAAACCTTAATTAATTGAAAGATACTAATTGATCAAGCGGACCACGAAACTAGTGAATTTAAAATCAAGAATGATGAAAGCGAAAGACAATAATCAAACAATTTAATAAGTGCCCTAAATTTAAAAAATATACGGGCTTCTGAAACAACGATTTTGACACCGTACATTTCAATTGGTTCAAACAGCAACGAGCGAACAACATATCCATGAAAGGGTGTTGTTGCGCATACTAATGAACAGTAGTAAAAAATACAATCATAATTAAAGAGATATAGTGTATACATATAAAAAGAAATACCCGAAAATATGAGGGGAGAAAAAATGAAAGGAAGAACACAGAACGCAAAAAAATGGAGGGCAGCAAGAAGAAGATAGAGGAGAGAATAATTATTTATGCACTATATTATTAATGGGGGTACATTTAATAAGAAACAGCTAAATAAACTGGAAACTTTGCTGTATATATTATACAGAAAGGAAAGAAGAACTGACTTAAAGTAAAACAAAATAAACACCTTCTGTAAAAATGTCTTTCTTCTTTTTGTCTTATTTATCGAATGTTGTCTTACCCTTGCTTTTTTCCAATTCAGGCACTATGGAATGGATCGACAGGGAACTTAGTTAGATTTATGAATCCAAGAAAAAATACGAAAATAAAAGTTTCAGTATTTTAAACTAATACGCTAATTTAATATTTAAAAAAGTCTTTATAAAACCACTATTTCGTGCATCTTAATTAAACTATAAATTTGTAGTATATATTAATTTTTTTTTGCATTGAAGGTTTAGATGAAAAATGGAAAAGAAAAAAACGAATAGGACTCAAACCCACGACATTCAATACCCCTTTAAGGAAAAAAATTTAAAAACATTTTTTTAAAGAAGATATTTTCATTTGTTTCAGCTGCAGCTACGATTACGTGGAAGTGCAGAGTGGAAATTCGTCGACGAGGCTTTGCGGCGATTGGTCAAATAAGTTGAAGTTGCTTCGCCAGGTGCTGCCTGGGCCCAGCATGACCATAAAATTCTTAAGTGATTATTCGCACAACTTCGGCGGATTCAAAGCTCGCATATCAATAGAACAAAGTAAGCATCTCAAGGAAAAAAGCCCGAAGTGATAACACATCAAGATATAGAATTCCGTAAAAATAAGCACGACCCCGGAAACATGGTTGACCTGAAAAAATAGTTCATTCCAGGAGAATTGGATTGACCCGTTGAACTTCGGTGTTCTTTCTAACTAGTTAGGTCAAACTTACCCTTCAGACAGGTAACGAGTTTTCAGGGTATCGTCACTCTAACTCGATAATTAAACTCGTAAGAAAATATTTATATCATTACCGATATCACTTTACTCCATTTCTTTGTAGAAAATTTACAACTCCATTAACGGAAATTGATAGTATTTTTCTGGTGATTTCAATTTACATAGTGATTTGACGTGAAATTTGATTAACTAATAGCTTAATATATTTTCGTAAATAAACTGATCGTTTATTATAACAGAGTAGAACATGCATGAAGAGAGAAAGAGCGTGTGTGAGTGAAAGAAGAAAGGGGAAAGAGAGAGAGAGAGAGAGAGAGAGAGAGAGTGAGAAAAAGAGATACAAAGAGATAGAGAAAAAAAGATTGAGAGATAGATAGATAAATAGATAGACAGACAAATAGAAAAATAGACAGATAGATAGATAAATAGATAGACAGACAAATAGAAAAATAGACCGATAGATAGATAAATAGATAGACAGACAAATAGATAAATAGACAGATAGATAGATAGATAAAGAGAGAGAGAGAGTAAATTTAGACTTTATCGACCGGAATAATCAGCAGAGTGTGAAGAATAGGATTGTACAAGAAAGACTGCTGAGAAAAACGGAGTCGGCAAGAAGGAGTAAATATTAAGAGGTTGAGAGAAAAAATGAAAAGAAAGACAGAAAAACATCCATATCAAGTACAATATTAATGCCATAAAGAAAGACATGGTGAGAAAGAGAGGGAGAGTGAGAGTGAGAGAAGGAGAGAGCAAGACATAAAATAAGTAAGGAAAATAGAAAAAGAAACATAGGAGAGGGAAAGATAGAAAAATCGTGTATGTGGAATAGAAAGAAAGAAGAACATAGATAGAGGGAGAGAGAGAGAGAGAGAGGGAGAGATAGAAAGAGAGAGAGAAAATAGCGATCGAAAGAAAGCAAGAGAAAGTGTAAGGTTAAAGAAAGGGAAGGGAGAAGATAGAGGAAGATAGACAAAACTAGACAGAGAAAGAGTATGGAAAAAATAAAGATAGAGAAAAAGTATGGGAAATGGAAAGAGAAAGAGAAAAAGAGGGAGAGAGAGAGAGACAGACAGACAGATAGAGAGAGGAAGATAGAGGGAAAGAGAGAGAATGAGAAAAAGAGGAAAGAGTGAGAAAAAGGAAGAAGGAATGCGAGAGAAAGAGAATGGAAAAAGAACGAGAAAGTATAAGACAGAGAAAGGACAAAATAGACAGAAAGATAGAGAAAAACGGAGTCGGCATGATGGAGTAAATATTAAGACGTTGAGAGAAAAAATGAAAAGAAAGATAGAAAAACTTCCATATCAGATACAATATTAATGCCATAAAGAAAGACATGGTAAGAAAGAGAGGGAGAGTGAGAGAAGGAGAGAGCAAGACATAAAATAATAAGGAAAATAGAAAAAGAAACATAGGAGAGGGAAAGATAGAAAAAACCTGTATGTGAAATAGAAAGAAAGAAAAGAAAAGATAGAATAGGGAGAGAGAGAGAGACAATAGCGATCGAAAGAAAGCAAGAGAAAGTGTAAGGTTAAAGAAAGGAAAGGAGAAGCGAGAAGATGATAGACAAAACTAGAGAGAGAAAGAGTATAGAAAAATAAAGATAGAGAAAAAGTATGGGAAATACAAAGAGAGAGAGAGAAAGAGAGAGAGAGAGAGAGAGACAGATAAAGAGAGGAAGATAGAAAGGAAGAGAGAGAGAGACAAAGAAAGAAAAGGGTGAGGGAGAAAGAATGCGAGAGAAAGAGTATGGAAAAAGAAAGAGAAAGGATAAGACAGAGAAAGGACAATATAGACAGAAAGATAGTGAAAAACGGAGCCCGCATGATGGAGTAAATATTAAGAGGTTGAGAAAAAAATGGTAAGTAAGATAGAAAAACATCCATTCCAGGTACAATATTAATGCCATAAAGAAAAACATGGTGAGAAAGAGAGTCAGAGAGAGGGAGAGAGAGAGTAAATAGAGATGGAGTCTAACTGAACGAAATGAGAGCTAGACCGTATGTGTATCGATATAGAAAATTTTAAAAATAAAGATTATTTAGAGATCGTGAGATGCGGTCTGGTGTGACGTAGATTTAGAAAAACATTTTCTTTATCGTGCCAACGCATCCGCCTGTATTGAGATCATCTTCAGGGCTCAAAGTATTTGTTTTCCATGCGAGTGCACTCTCAACACGACACACGCGAATGGCACAATTACGCTGAAAACAAACACTTTGAACCCTGAAGATGATCTCCGAATAATCAAAAATCATATTGATTTGTAAATAATTTGTAGATAACCTTTGTCAGTTAAAGTGGCGGGCTTTGTTGTACGCACTTTTCTTTTCATGCATTCCAAACTCCTGTTGACATAACTGAACATAACATTATGTTAACGTAACTGAAACCAAATTCCAAACCTTGCACTTTTAAATAAATCTTAAAATCATGTTGAACCGGCACACGGGCACTACTGGGTCTGTCTTCACTCGCGGGTTTTTTGTTTGAGTTATTCAAACGCGTTTCGGCATTACGCCATCTTCAGTGAAAAACTGTCTGTCATTCAGTCTGAGTGGGGTTTATATATTGTTGCGTCCGTCGCTTGTCGCTGGGGGCGTTGCGTTAGGGGGTGTGGTCTCCGTGCTCGTTGGTCGGTCTTGGTGGCGGTTATTTTCATTGTCAGTTATTATTTGTGCGATGTCAGTTTTTTGTTTTTTCCTGGTGTTGATTGCGATGTTTTGTTCTTCTGAACGTTTTCGTTTTTTGTATTGGAGTGTTTTTAGTGGTGTGAAGGTGGTGTGTGATTGTTGCGTTTATAAGTTTTCCGTCTTTAAGTGTTATTTGTTTGTATATCTCGAGGTTCTCCAGTATGTTTAGTTTTCGTCCTTTTTGTGCGTTGTGCGTAAATACAATTGAATAACTCAAACAAAAAACCCGCGAGTGAAGACAGACCCAGTAGTGCCCGTGTGCCGGTTCAACATGAGTTCGCCAACTCGCAGACCAAACCCCATCATCTACTATAAATCTTAAAATGTTTAAATTCTTTCATATTTCGTTCGTTATGATGAATTGATAACATGTCAGTAGTGAAACGAAAGCGAATAATATTAACTCGAACAAACACAATTTCTAGCCTACCTTAGGTTTTCAAAAAGTAAATTTTGTAGGTTTCCTTTTATTCTGTATTATATATAAGTCATGAATTAATGAAAAAGGTGAATATAAATATTTTTAAAGAAAATTTGTTGGATTGCATTTAAAATGAGACGTATTGTCCCACGCTATTATGTATGTCGTATATCCGTTGGACAATGCACAAACGCGCTCTCAACACGACACACAATTAGCCAGAAAACAAAAACTTTGAGCCCTGAAGATGATCTCAATAAAGTTCGAAACGTTGGCACGATAAAGAAAATGTTTTTCTAAAACCTACATCACACCAGGCCGCATCTGAGGTTCTCCGACTATAAATCTAGTAGTAACTTAGCCTTAATAGCTTTTATCTGTAAAATATAAGATTACCAAAATTACAATGAAATCGGACGAATTGAATCATAAGGCCAATAAGAAAGGTCCCAGGCAATATACAAACATACATATTTAACATACAAATACATGTAAGGTGTGAAAAAATGAATTTATACAATGATAGAAATTTTAGACTCAATAGTTGTGAACTACTATAGTTGAGTTACCTACGTCACACCAGACCGCATCTATCTCCAAAAAATCATTTATTAACGGTCACTAAAAACTACACATTAAAAAATAAAGTTTGAAATACATAGAAAAAAATTAATTTAGTTTGACCATCTAACAAGTTTAAACCTTCGGTAAAAAATGAAATCATGCCCGTAATTTTCGTATTGTTGATAGTATTGTTATTTTCAACCCTTCCATCGACAAGGAATATTTTGTTACTATATGTTGGTAATTCATTGTCTTGTGTTTAGCATTTTATTTTTAAATTTCAGCATGGCCCGAGTGTGGCGACGACAGGTTGCAGCTCTACAACAACTCCTGCTACTTATTTGTCAGCTTTCCAGACGTGTCGTGGCACACAGCCAGAGAGATTTGCAGGGAGATGAAAGTAAGTAAAAGTAGACGTAGAATGAACATTATTCTTCGTTAGTCCTCCAGCCTGGGCCATTCTTATAAGACAGGCGTTTTTAACAACTTTACATAAATAGCGGTTTTCAAGCCGCTGTTTAACAATATTATCTCACAGCCCTTTTACCGTCTAAGTTTAAGAACGGAGCTTGATGGAACTTTCAGAAAGAATGGCTTCACGGTATGAAACGTTTTCATGACAATACCTCCTGTACAGAGAATTACTCAACGTACAAAAAATTACAGTCATTAGAAATTTATGATTTTATCAAAAGGGTTTCATCATATAGGTCAAGACAAAAGTGAAAAAGTTTGAGTAGACAAAAGTTTACGTGAATAATTTTAGCTTTATAATAAAGCTAGTTTTATAAGAGTGAGATAAACGCTTCTTTAAACAAATACTATTTAAGGGATTAATTTACTTATTTGGAATAATTATACATAGAATTTTTATTAATAGTTGTTATTTTTACAACATATGTAGTTTAGCAGTGTCCAAAGCTGTAAAATCGAATGGACGCTATTTCCCCTCGTTTTCATTTGTTTCTCACAAATAGTTTTAAGGTCCATTTAACGTCGACAAACAAGCCCATCTCGTCTTCTTGTACTATAGCAGACAATGCAAGCTCATTCGAAGGTTAAGGCCGAAATTCTAGCTGCTGGAAATAAAGCAATAAAGTCACCCGTTGGCGACTGTTTACAACCTTAACCCACTTTCATTCGGTCATCTCCCTCTAATCTAAACATTATTGCAAATTCGGATTTGTTATCGCAAAAACCAGGTTTGATTATACCAAATTTATAACTTTTATGTAAAATTCTGTCATTCGTTATTCTTTTTTTATGGTATAAGGGATGTTTCTCCACGTGGCGATGTATTTTCTTTTTTTATTCCTGGTTGTTAAATATTATTGTAGTTATATTATGGCTAAAGAATGTCAAATCATATTTATGTATTTTTTGATTATTAATTAAATTTTTTGCTGTTTATTTTATAATTTTATATGTATGTACACATTGTTGGGACGTCCTCTGCATTGGAACCTACAATATAAATAATAAAATCATATACGATTACGTAATATAGGTTTGTTTTAACAATATTTTAATTTAATTATTTATGATTTTAAGTTGAGATAAAAAAGTCAGTGTCACGAGCGGGATTCGAACACGAATTTTTATCTCAACGTAAAACCTTAAATAATTGAATGATATTAATTGGTCAAGCGGTCCACGAAAAATACAGAATTTAATGAATTAAAAAGAATTATACTGCACTAAAGCTCTCTGTGGCCATTTCATTTGTCGCCGGGAATCAAATAAATTATAGGACATTTGAAAAATGGAAAAAAGGAGGGAAAATTAAAAAATGTGGGGTTGAGATGGGAAGTTAGTGCCTGAGGGGATCGAAGTCACGATAGCTCAACTGGTAGAGTAGCGGTGTATCAAGCCGAAGGTCGTGGGTTCGAATCCCGCTCGGGACACTGACTTTTTTATCTCAACTTCAAACCTTAAATAATTGATAATTATTCCGAAATCGTGAGATGCGGTCTGGTGTGATGTAGGTTTCAGAAAAACATTTTCTTTATCGTGCCAACGTTTCGATCTTTATTGAGATCATCTTCAGGGCTCAAAGTGTTTGTCTTCTGTTTAATTGTGCCATTCTTTCGTGTCGTGTTGAGAGTCAGCTGGCACTCTCAACCGACACGAAAGAATGGCATAGTTACAAAGAAGACAAACACTTTGAGCCCTGAAGATGATCTCAATAAAGATCGAAACGTTGGCACGACAAAGAAAATGTTTTTCTGAAACCTACATCACACCAGACCGCATCTCACGATTTCTGAATAATTATCGATTAACGGTCACTAATAATCACCACATTTAAATAATGGAATGGTATTAATTTGTCAAGCGGAACACGAAAAATAGTGAATTTTCATTTAAGTTGGAAAAATTAGAAACTGATTCATAATTTTATTTTATATTGGTTGTTTTTTGCGGAAGAATGTATCGATTTTCTATTTACAACTATATAATATATACCGTCGCAAATCAACAAATTAAAAAAGAGTTTGTACCACCCAGGATCCCCATTCGAATTTCAACCAAGTACCGAAGTCCGATAAGGGTTGAAATGTGATTCCGGGGGCGGCCACATTCACTTGCGGGAGATAAAGTTCAACGCCTAAGCCCGATATGACAACGTACACCGGAAGATAGGACTTTATCGACGTACCGGTCTCAAATATGAATACAAGGCTCCTTTAACGTTTCTGCTCCGGCTAAAGTGCCTTTTGTGGTTGAATAGGATGGGAAAAAACCTTTTTATACAATATGCGTCCGAAGCCCTTTACTTCCTTCTTTGACGAGTACTAGCCTGTCTGTTGGACATAAATTCTGCTATTTTGACGCAGTAAAATATAATTTTTTGGCTCCAGATAAAAATATTTAGTTATAAAATAACATAAATACAAAGAAACTAGATCTATACATAATGTACGCTTTGTTTAAAAAAAACCTTTAAGCAGGAGTGTTAATAGTGAGGATATTGCCGAACCCAGCTTAAAACCCTGTTTCACTGACGAATCTGACGCTATTAGACGTAGTCATTATAATACGAAATCGAATAAAGATTGAAACCATCAATAAACAGATGGTTCTGGAAAAAATTAATCGTTCCCTTTTTATTTAAAAACTGGGGTTGAGAAGTTGGTGTCCGAGTGGATCGAGGTCACGATAGCTCAAGTGGTAGAGCAGCGGCGTGTCTAGTCGAAGATCGTGGGTTCGAATCCCGCTCGTGCCATTGACTTTTTTATCTCAACTAAAACTTTAATTACTTGTAATATATTAAGTCAAGTGGACCAAGAAATTAGTGAATTTTATTTAAAAGTATCTTGCTTCCTCTTCATGCAATGACATCACCTATTTGTCAGTAACCAGTAGTTATTTTAATACTATAAGCCGTGACGTTTCTGAAAAATTTGCTTTTGCTACAACTCCTTAGATGTTTTGTATTTTAAAACTTAATAAGGAGTGTCTTGTCTGGCCCATCTTTTTATTTTATTTTACTTTTTTTACTAGGAATCGCAACATCAGAGGTCATTAAAACCCTGACGATTCATTTTGGAAAAAAACTAGAACAAGCAATATAACGTGCATGATTTTATAATAGACTATAATTATTATCGCTTTTGTTACACTTTTGAATTGGAACAAATATAGAAATGTTTTCCACTTTGTCCATTCATAAGTCTGTAATAATTGTTGAGTTTATTAAGTTATTAGCTTTAGGACTTTTAAAATATAAATACTATGTTTTTATTAGAATTTTTTTACAATAAAGACAAAAATCTTGGACTTTATTCGCCCGCGTTGCAAATAATCATACAAAATACAGATATGAAAAATTTGGCATCTTGCTTCGCCCTACTTATAACCTTAGACTCTCTGTGAGCCCATTCAAAATAAAGAGACAGCTGATAGAATTACAATAAATACTAAATACGGTCAATTAATTTAGGTTTTTAGTTGAGATAAAAAAGTGTCATGAGCGGGATTCGAACCCATGACCTTCGGCTTGATACGCCGCTACTCTACCACTTGAGCTATCCTTACTACTATACTGCTATACTTCGATCCACTCGGGCAATAACTTCCCATGACTTTTTATCTCAACTAAAAACCATAATTAATTGAATGATATTAATTGGTCAAGCGGACCACGAAAACTAGTGAATTTAATGAGTTAAAATGAAGTATACGTCACTAAAGCTCTCCGTGTCCATTTCATTTGTCGCCGAGAATCAAATAGATTACACGACATTTGAAAAATGGCAAAAAGGATGGAATATTCAAAAAGGTGGGGTTGAGATGGGAAGTTAGTGTCCGAGTGGGTCGAGGTCACGATAGCTCAAGTGGTAGAACAGAGGCGTATCTAGCCGAAGATCGTGGGTTCGAATCCAGCTTGTGACACTGACTTTTTTATCTCAACTAAAAACCTTAATTAATTGAAATTCTCGATACTGTAGAACGAGATCCCAATTTCACTCGCACTACCTCCCTCTTCTATCCGAAAAATTATCTCGAATTTTTCCTCAACAGAAAATGACCGACAAAACGTTTTCATTCAAAATCAAACTAAGTCAAGTGTTTTTCAAGACTTGTAGAGTTCAAAACAGGGAGAAGAATCAATCCTAGAATCATTTGGCATTAGTGTTTACTTTTACATGCTTGGTAGAGTGTCATTGGACTTTGTGTTTTCGTCCAACCTATGATTGATGCGTAAAAGTTAAATAAAATTGTTTTTCTTTAAGTTTTTTGGCTAATTTGTACGTTTATATTTGCAGTGTTTCAATTAAAAAAGAGTATAACGCATAAATACATTTGCTAGAACGGCATTCTGCTCAAATTCAGTGGCATATCCTTAATAAATTTTTATATCAACGTATTTTGTTTTTATGGGGGTCATAGTTTGCGTCCGAGTAAGATATACACATTGGCACCCTGAATAAGCCAATAGCGAACCAAAAACTGTCAAAAAATCGACCAGATTGATCATCGGAATAAAGATGAAGTATGGAGGAACAAGTAAGTTTGCAACTTAATCAAGAAGGACGCTACTGGCCAATTGTACATAAATTTAACTTCCTCTCCCAATGGTTTATACAGTTACGAAATAGAAATAAATCCCTCACCTTTCATGCATACAAGACGGGGTTTACTTCAAGACTCATTATCAATTTAGAGCCCTTACTTTCAAAATTTATGATAGAAGTCTTTGAAAATACGATTGAATATTTGTGCGTGTCCTTCTACGCTGATGCTTGTATACACGAAAGCTAGTAAAAATATAAACAAATATCACATAACGGATTTATAATAAATCTTGACGAAAATGTTTTTTTGCACTGAAAATGCACAATGAGTCAAAATTAATTTACTAATTGATTCATCAAGACATAAGGACTTATTGATTAT